TAAAAACTGAAAAATTGAGAAATTGAACAATCAAAACAATGAAACATCTGAATTCGATAAATTGAGAAATTAAAAAATTGAATAATCGAAAAATTTTAAAAAAGAAAAATTGGAAAATCGAAAATTAAAATTAAAAAAATCGAAAAATTGAAAAATTGAAAACTCGAGATATCGAAAAACCTAGAATTTTAAAAAAATGAAATATTAAAACATCGAAAAGTTGAAAAATTGAGAAATCGAAGTATAAAACAGTCGCAGAATTGAAAAATCGAAAGTTTACAATAAATTGAAAATCCAAAAAGTAAAAAATCGAAATATGGAAAAATTCATAACTGAAAGAAATATTCAAAAAATTGAGAAATTAAAAAATTGGAAAATTGAGAACTCGAAAATCGAAAAATCGTAAGCTTAAAAAATCGAAGAATTGAACATGTGAAAAATCGAAACCTTAGGAAGTCCAGAATAGGAAAATATTTTAGAAATCGGAAAACTAAAAATTTAGAAACGTGAAAATTTGAAAAATTGAAAAATCGAAATATTTAAGAACCGCAAAATTGAAGAGGACAAAAATTGAGAAATCGTATCATTAAAATATCGAAAAATAAAAAAATCGAAAAATGGAAAATTTGAAGAATGGAAGAATTGGAAAAGTCCAAAATTGAAATATTGAAAAATCGAGAATTCGAAAAGCCGAAAAATCTCAATAGCGTATTTATAAATTACAAGATCAGAACTATGCTACTTTTTAAAATTTAAATAACATTATAAATTGCAAAATGTTGATTTTTTTCCAAAAACCTTGACGTCTAAGGTGAAAACTTGACACGGATGCATAAACCGTAAAAGGAGGATATACTATTGTAAAATTTGGAGATTGCGTCATTTCATTGGTGGTGACAAATTTTGGTGAGTGTTTTACCATTTGATAATACAATTTGAAATGAAAATTTTGTCATTCGGGAACATTATGTATTAAATCGTTAAGATGTTCAAGAACTTTGTTCACTTATTCGTTGTAAAGTCCAATGGTCGAAACGGGTTAGTTCTTCGTAGTGGATGTGTATCAGATCAACTCTAACGAATGTCGGCTTATAGATAAATCGCTTAAAGCCGATATTGGCCTGAGTGTGCTTTGGTCTGTAGATAAAACAAGTTCTCAGGCGACGAAAAATTTCATGTGGAGGGTGACTTCGGATTAGAAATCGTGCCAAGAATGTAATAAACTTATATCAGTGTAAAATATTTGGGAGATATGGATTTTCAGGTGCGGGACTAGCAGTAATTTTAATTTGTTTGCTGTCGTTCGTGAAGTGAAGAAACCAATTTCATTAAAATGATAATTATAAAATTATCATAATCACTATTGATATTAATTCACACAAAATGGCGCGCAAGTTATCAGTTGATTTCGTTAATAAATTCATAGAAACCTATATGGGATTTTTTCATGTCTTAGAAAATTAAAAAGTAAAAAATACAATAACAAAAATTTTAAAATGTGGTTTACGAAAAATTAGTTGACTTGTGCAGAGGAAAATTTTGGTAACACTTGAAGAAATGCTTTCGGCATAGTATTTTTTATGCTGGCGTGAACAAAATACTCTGTGTCAGTGTGCAAAGAGTTAACCGTGCAGATCTAGTCGAAAATCCGAAAACCAGATCGCTGTGTCTAGGGCTTGTTTTAGAAATATAATAAACATTTCAAACAATGTCTGTAACTTATTTTAATGTAAATTATATTCATGTGGTTGACAAAATCAGATGTAATATTAGTGTGATTTTGACCTTATTCTAGATTTTATTACAGCAGAACGGCGTATCTTTTTTAAATTTTAGAAGTTTAAGAAACAATTAGTTATCTCGTATTTTTGGAACAAAATCTACCAAAACGTCGGATAACAGCAATTGTTTTTCATAGAAACAATCAGTCTTCAAAGCAGCCTTTAACAACTCGATATTACAAACATACCTCTTAAGTTCTTAATGCGTTTTTTTCTGTCGTGTAATTATTTGTAATGTCAACGCCGAAAGTTTATGTCATTCTGTTATTTACTTTGAATATATATTTTCATTTTGTGTTAATATGTTTGTAACACCACGAATCTAAATTTTACTAAATCTTGTAAAACTAAACAATTATACCAGTTTAAAAACCCTTGGAAAGTTTCTGTCAGTCTTCGGATATAGTCAAATAATAAAAATAGGCGTCAAATTCATTTAAATACAATTCTTTCGTAGAGCAGCTTTCAACACGAAAGGGTACAGGTGGTGGGAGTGCGCAGAACATTGTTTTGGTTTGGCCTTACAAATATCGTGCAAGCAGTGGCAGCGGCGATGAATATTTCGATTTTGAAATATTAAAATATTATTGCGGTTAATAAAAATATCACTTTTCTATTTTATTAGCGTTGACATTATTGAAAAAGAATTTAAACAATTGTTACTGCTGTATTTGATGTATGAGTTGAATAAAAAAGTAAGTAAAAGAAGTAAAAAGGTAATTTTTGGTGAGCAATAATAACTGTTAAATTACGGTACAGTCGAAACTCTAGTTATAAACGACAATTATGCTACAATATGAACTGTGTTTATTACTTCGATGTTAAAGACAGAAAACGTTGACCCTTATTATAATCCGACTTTACGGTATCGATAAATTGCGCCAGAAAATTAAAAACCATATAATTATAGTCATAGGTTGCTTATTCTCAGAGTTTTAACCCCGCTTTTATCTAAAGATTTAACTGTTGATTTAAGACAAGTCGACTATAAAATAGTATATGATACTGGTTTATAATGAGGGGTTCGTGAAATTTTTTACTCATGCTATAATCCCTCACATTATAAACTCGTTTAATAATTAAAAATATCAAATTTTGTGTGATAGATTATCATAATTTATTGTTACGTAAGTCTATTTTTTTAACAAACAAATTAATTTATTTTTATTAAACGGTCGTCTCTATTCTTTTGTAGAAATTGCTCTTTTTTTAATTGTTTTTGAAAGAAGTATAACTCAGCCGAGCCTCCCTTCTCAATGCATCGATGTTACGCCACTGATTTAGTTTCGGAATTTCTGGAATCTATGAAATCTTTAAAATATTAATAATCCTGCAAATCTTCAATCTTCAGAATTTTTTGTATTTTCAGAATCTCTAGAAGCTGTAGACTCCTTAGAACCCAGAAACTTTAGAGTTTTTAAAATCTATAGAATATATAGAATATTCAAAATCTTCAGAATATTCAGAGTTTCTAGAATCTGCAGTCTCGGAATTTTAGGAATTTGTGGAATTTCTGGAAGCTTTGAAATCTTTGTAGGCAAAATCTTCAGAATATTTATTGCTTCTGGAATCTTTAGCTTCGAAATTTCCGGAATTTGTGGAATCTGTGAAATCGTTAGAATATTTATAATCCTGGGAATCTTCAGTCTTCAGAATTTTTAGGATCTTCATCCTTGGAATTATTCAAAATCTTCATATTCTTTAAAATCATTGAAATCGCTCGAGTCTCGGAATTTCCAGAATCTATGAGATTGTTGAAATTTCTGAATCTTTTGAATTCTTTCCAATCTTTATAATCTTCAAAATTTTTGAAGTAGTCAGTCTTCAAAATCTTTAGAATCTCTGGAATCTCTTGGCTTTGAAGAATCTAGGATTTCTGGAATAACTGAAATCTTTAGATCTTTATAATCTTCAGAATGTTTGGGATCTTCAGGCTTCGAAAACATCAGAATTTTCATATTCTTTAGAATCTTTGGAATATCGAATCTCGGAATTTCTTTGGAGTCTCTATAATGTTCAGAATCTTCGTATTCGTTAAAATATTTGGTCTCATTAGTGTGGGAATTTCCGAAATCTTTGGAATTTCTGGAACCTTGAAAATCCCTATAAAATTTAGAATTTTCGAATTCTTTAGTTTTCATAATTTTTGGAATCTCCAGTCTTCGAATCTCTGGAATCTTTAGAGTTTCAGAATATCCGGAATTTTTTAAATTTTTGGAATCTTCAAATTCTTCAGAATTTTTGTAATCTTTGGTCTTCGAAATATTCAAAATCTTTAGAATCGTTGGATTTCCAGTCTCCGAATATCCGAAATCTTTGAAATTTCTGGAATATTTGACCCTTCGAAATCTTTGTAATGTTCAGAATTCTTCATTTTTGGGATCTTCAGTTTTCGAAATATTCAGAAACTTCAGAATCTGTAGGATCTTTGGAATCTAAAACCTCTCGAATCGCTAGAATGTCAAGCTCTATGATCTCTAGAATCTCTAAAATCTGTAAAATGTATAGAATATTCAAATTCTTCAGAATATTTGGAGTTTCTAGAATCTCTAATCTCGGAATTTCCGGAATGTTAGGAATTTGTGGAATCCTAGGAATCTTTAAAGTCTTCAGAATTTTTAGGATTTTCAGTCTTCGAAATATTCAGTTTGCGAATACTCCAAATCTTTGGAATTTCGAAAAACTCTGAAATTTTTGGAATTTTCAGAAGTTTTGGAACCTTCAGTTTTTGAAATATTTAGAAACTTCAAAGTTTCTTGGATATCTAGAAATTTTTGAAATATTCAGTCTTCGAAATCCTCAGGTCCGACTACAAGTCGCGCAACTTAAGCCCCGCCCCTGTACCCTTTTGTGGTAAAATTACTTCTATCACGTTACAACGCGGTGCTTCATATTTTTTATGTCAAGTATATTTTTATATTTTGTACATATATTTTTATACACATTACTGTTTACGGAACAATGTTAATTATGGATTTATGGATAACTCATCGTTAAGAACAGAGTGAAGGGTGTATGCCTTTGCTAATGTTTGATGGCGCCATCTTATGTAGAGTAAAATAAACCTAATACGTTGGCTCACTGTAGTGAAAATGCGCGTTGACGAAAAATTTGACCCACGCCCCCTGGATTCCTTGTCCTAAAGCTCACTATTTGGGCGAAGTAAAATTTGTATTAGGTTGTCCAACTATAATATACTTAAACAATGGTTTTACTCACTTTAAGGTTCTCTAGTTCCGTCCGGACCGCGTGCAACTGCGTATCTAATCTCTGTCGGACTAGTTTGTAGTCGTTGATGATTGTCGCGTTGTTCTTCTTGTCCTTTTCCGCTTGCTCCACTTCACGCTTTAGCATATCTTTTAGTTGAGCGATTTCATCCAACATCAGTTTTCTCTCTTCTTCGTAGCGCGATAATGTCAGACGGAGCTGTTGGACTTCGTTGGCTTCGCTCTCCGCGTTATCTGCAGCCTCTGAATCCAACATGATAATTTCCCAGCCGTCTAGAGGAGGTAACACACAGCTACTACTACGTTACACCATGTGAGAACTCCTCGTTAGTCACAGATCTAGTATAAGAGGTGAGTGCCTAGCGAACACGAACACGCCTTAGCTCATGTGTACGATAACGATTCACATGAACCAGACGGAGTCTAAACGCCCTAAATGCTTCTACACACGCACACAACACAGACTTACCTTTAAGCGCGAAATACTCAGCCTCGAACTTCCTCAACTTCTTCACTTTTATGCTACAAGCTGTCTTGATTAACTGCCGCGTTGACTCCTCGTTTCTGCACTTCTTGGGCAGGGAAACGCGGAAGTATTTCAAAATTCCTTCGAAGTCGAGTTGGAGTAAGTCCTTGGTGTATGCCTGCGACAATGAAGGGTTTCCGGGTGACGTCGACGCTCGACAAACCCGGTTTAACTCACCGTCAACAAGGCCAACGCTACTTGGAACAACGTATCGATGCCTTGGAGTAAGAATACGTCGATTATTTGAAACACGAAGTTCAGAGGGAATCTGGCAGTAAAGAGGGTGAGGAACCACTGGGAAGCGAACATGTGGGTTTCGACGTGGTGGTCGGCGAAGTGTTGCCACAGTTGCGTCAACTGTTCCTTCATTAAGCAGTTGAGTTGGTAAAGGCGCAGGTAGAGATTGTCGAAACCGTCTTTGTATAAGTCTCTGAGACGGTAGTCGTACATTAGTTTCACTAAAACACAGAAAGCTTGCTCCTCGGGCATCTGGAAACCAGATATATCGTAACGGGTACAATTTGCTGGTGGAAACTTACATGCAACAACAACGTAGCAGCTAGAAAACTAAGTCCTTGACAATATCCTACTTCTGAATCGTAGACGGCGTACGCTTTACTAACTCTGTAGAGAGAATCCTGGCCCAAACCTCCCGCTTCTTTGAAAAAATCATGGGCGGGGAACGTTCGTGCAATGTCTCTTTGTATCACATTCTCACAGCTACTTTCCTAAGAAAACACCTATAGCGGTCGCAAAATTTCATCAATATGCAAACTAACTTTCGTAATGAGTAATCTATAATTTTCCATCATCTCTGTGTTCTCCTCCACCCCCGCCAACCGCTGCCACACCTCCCCCCGCAGCGCTTCGGGTATCCCCGTCCGCACTAAACTCGCCAGTTGCTTGGGTGGTTGTTTGGTCGACTTCCAGCGAGTAAGTACATCGGCCCAACTTTCAAGGACATCCTCTGAGCAATCCTTCGAGACCAATCCCGTCCCGCTCAGCAGCGGCTCGTCGCCGTCTACTTAAAAACCGATTTCTAGTTGTCCGCGACCCACCGAAAAACACTCACCCGAGTTGTACTCCTCCTTGGGCGTAATGGTATCAATGGACGTAATACTAGGCGATTGTATAAGGCTGGACAGATTCAGGTTCAAATTCAGCAAATTCTTGTCCAATTCCCCCGACGTCTCCATGTTCAACACTTCATAATAAATGTCGTTAAGATCCCCAGCTACCACCTACCGACAAACAACCTCAACAAAGAGTTCGCATTGAAACCAGATAAGCACATTTCCGTCATCGTTAAAAATTTACTGATAACACCTAAGGTCACTACCATTACTTTGTTTTTGTCTGATGTTCTAATTTTTTCTCCTACATTCGCAAGTAAACAAGTTATCGTCCCGTTTACCTCTTTTAAATTCAAGAAGAACTGCTGCACGAGCGACCTCTTCTGGAAGTACCAGAAGTTGCGCTCGCTCTGGCCGAAGATCCTCACGGCGGTCTCGATCTGGAACCGCACCGGTTCCTGGATGCCGCGAATCACGAGGTCTACGGCCACTGTCATGAACTGCTTCACGTCTTTGGGGGTTTCTATGTTCAGAGATTCGAAGGAGGGCTCCGTGGGGTCCCAGGTCGCGGAAATGAGGGTGCAGTTACGGTCCACCGAGGTGTTGTTTGATGGAGCTTGCTCCTTCTGCACGAAATTCGACCGTATGCACTGCGTTCGTACGACTTAACGCCGATTTATAAACTTGTCACCGTTGACGTTGAAGTTGAAAGGAAAATCCCCTGAAGTAGGGGAACATTTTTTTGATTGACAGCACTAATTCCACGAAAAACAAATTTTGATATTTTAAATAGCTCCCATCATTTTCTAACATCTACAAGAACTGACATTTTGCCTTTTTTCTTAATATACGTAATCGTCTTTTCAGAACAAGAAACTTAAAACATGCTTAAAATGGGAAATTCTTGTAGAATGTAGACAATTTCTTGTAGAAAAATAAGGATTCTACAATTAAGCTCCGCCCCTCGGCTTACAACGAATAAAAAAAATCATTAGAATTGAGCCAGGACCGGTGGGAGGGGCTTACAACTTGCCTTTTTTTCTTAATATCCTTTCCATCTTTTCACAACAAAAACTTAAGACATGGTTAAAATGGTACATTTTTTCAAGGAAATATGGATTTCGCAATTATGGGAGGGAAGCCTAATTGCAAAATCGGTATTTCCGTACACAAATTTTCCATTTTAAACTTGTTTTAAGTTTCATGTTGTGAAAAGAAGTCTACACATATTAAAACAAAAAGGAAAATCTATGCCCGCCCACCCGCCCTATCTCAATTGGGATGATTTTTTTCATTCGCCGTAAACCAAGGGGGCGGAGCTTAACTGCTAAATACTTAAATACTCTAGAAAAAATTGGTCTAAAGAGTTTAGACAGTACTTCCCTCGCTGTCGGAAACTTGACGACTGCATGCCTATTGTGTTTTTTTTCTCATTACATTTTTGTAGTGGGAATTTAAAAAACAAATTGCGATGACGTCATCAACATTTTTGCAAGGACACGTATATCAGTTGGGATAGATGTAGTGTAATACTAAGAATAAAATTATTATATTCTCAAATTTTCGGGAAAATGAATTGGGTCGTTTTGAATATTGATTTGTAATAATCAATAAAATAACGAAACAATTTACTCACGTATACGTATCAGAGGCAACTGAAAATCGTGTATGTATAAACATTCTTAATTTAAGATGACAGGCGTAACAGCATACGTGAGAGTCAAACAGAGAAACTGTAAACAAAACGACCATCGGTTTTATTGCTTCGACTTCCGCTTATTATATAAAACATTGGGTTTTATTTTAATTCTTGACGGTGAAATTCACAATTGGTTGATTATAAACATGTCTATTTCACATTCGCGGAACCAAGTGAGCGCATAAAACAAATGCAGGTCTGTAATGTTAAAGTCGATATAAATAAGCGTGCTACCCTTATGTTTCAACCGAGTTTTTCCTTTAACAAATTTTGTGTCTACCAAATTGGGCTGGTTGGGGTGTAATACTAATAATAAATGTTGCCTTTAATTTAATCAATAAAATAAATTGACTTCATTAATTTTTTTGAACCACCTCTTAAGAAAATCTAAAAAATATGAATGGAATGATAAATCACAAGTACAAACTCATCATATTTTTTGCATTTTAAATAGGATTTATTCAGCAAAATTTAAGGGTGACGTCATCAATTTTTTTAGGAGGGATGAACAAATACATTTTGAACAAAAGTTTACCATGCTTATAATAACTTTAAAATATTCCCAAGATTTCAAAGCATTCGGTTTTCTAATTCCTGATTAAATCGATAAAATAAATTCACGCTTTCATTAATTTTTTTGAGTCACCCTGCATATGCAAATCCAAAAATATGATTGGAATGATAAATCACAAGTACAGACTCATCATATTTTGTACATTTTAGATACGATTTATTCGGCAAACTTTTGAGCTGACGTCATCAGTTTTTTGTAGAAGATAACCAAATATATTTTGACTAAAAATTTATTATGCTCTTTATAACCTTAAAACATCTGCAAGATTTCAAAGCATTCGGTTTTGTAGTTCCTGATTAAATCAATAAAATACATTTACGCATTCATTAATTTTTTTGAGTCACCCTGTATATGCAAATCGAAAAAAATTGAATGGAATGATAAATCACAAGAAGAGACTCACCATATTTTGTACATTTTAGATAGGATTTTTTCAGCAAAATTTTGTGGTGACATCATAATTTTTTTAGGGGGGACGACCAAATACGTTTTGATCAAAAATTTACCATGCTTATGATAATTTTAAAATATCTTCAAGATTTCGAAGCATTCGGTTTTGTAGTTCCTGAGTAAATCAGTAAAATAAATTTACGCTTTCATTTATTTTCTTAAATCACCCTGTATATGCAAATCCAAAAAATATGAATGGAGTGATAGATCACAAGTACAGACTGATCATATTTTGTACATTTTAGATATGATTTATTCGGCAAATTTTCGAGCTGACGTCATCAAGTTTTTGGAGGGGATAAGCAAATATATTTTGACTAAACATTTATTATGCTCTTTATAACCTTAAAACATCTGCAAGATGTCAGAGCATTCCGTTTTGTAGTTCCTGATTAAATCAATAAAATATATTTACCCATTCATTAATTTTTTTAAGTCACTCTGTATATGCAAATCCAAAAAATATGAATGGAGTGATAAATTACAAGTACAGACTCATCATATTTTTACAGTTTGGATAGGATTTATTCGGCAAACTTTCGAGCTGACGTCATCAATTTTTTGGAGGGGATAAGCAAATATATTTTGACTAAACATTTATTATGCTCTTTATAACCTTAAAACATCTGCAAGATATCAGAGCATTCGGTTTTGTAGTTCCTGATTAAATCAATAAAATATATTTACGCATTCATTAATTTTTTTGAGTCACCCTGTATATGCAAATCCAAAAAATATGAATGGAGTGATAGATCACAAGTACAGACTCATCATATTTTGTACATTTTAGATATGATTTATTCCACAAACTTTTGAGCTGACGTCATCAAGTTTTTGGAGGGGATAAGCAAATATTTTTTGACTAAAGATTTATGATGCTCTTTATAGCCTTAACAGATCTGCAACATTTCAAAGCATTCTGGTTAGCAGATTAAAAATTAAATTTCAAAATGTTGTTTTATAATTTTGATTTTTTTTCCAAAAATCTGGACGTTTCGGGTGAAAAGTCGATTCAGAGTTGTAAACTACATGTGTAGGACTGTTATTTTATACAATTGAAAACCCATTTACTATGTACAATTTTGAAGTGACGTCATCGCATTAGTGGTGGGGATGATTAGACAAATTTTGGTTAGCGTTTTACCATCTACATGATATTCTTAATATAAGTACAAAATTTCACAACAATCGGTCGAGTACTTTCGGAGATTATCTGTCTAATAAAAATCCGGGACAACAGACGGACAGACGGACGGACAGACGGACAGACGGACAGACAGACGGAAACGGGAGACCTATTTCTTCGTCTTCTAGGGGTCATGAAAGATCGAGAAAACGTAAAAGTAGAGAGTCGGCCGACGGACTCGATTACAATACTTCCTTTGCTTACGCTCGGGAAGTAAAAATTAAAATCATTTTTTATGTATTGTATTTTTCAAAGAGTACTGTGCATATTAAGAAAAAAAGGCAAAATATAATTCCCGCCCACCCACCCCATCTCACTTGTGATGAATTTTTTAATCTTTTAGAAACTTAAAACACGTTTAAAATGGTAAATGTTTGTAAATAAATATGGATTTTTCGATTAGGCTCCGCCCCTATCTCTGCCAACAAATGAAAACTTCATTACTATTTCGATCAGGGCAGGTATGAGCGGGGCTTAATCTTTGGCTTTAATTTCTTCTTAATAGACATAGTATTCTTTGAACGACACGGTACTCATAAACATGTTTTTAATTTCTCGTGGAGAAATAAGAATTTTGCAGTTAAGCTCCGCCTTCTTGGCTCACGACGAATAAAAAAAAACATCACAATGGAGATAGGGTGGGTGGGCGGGGCTCCATTTTGCCCCTCTTTTTCTGAATATGTGTAGAGTTATTTCGACAACAAGAAACTTAAAAACATGTTTAAAATGGTAAATTTGTATAGGGAAAAGTCGATTTTGCAATTACGCTCCGCCCCTCGGTTTGACAACGAATGAAAAATTCATCACAATTGAAATCGAGACGAATGGGTGGGGCTTCACTTTTGGTATATATATATTTTTTTTAATTAAAACATTTAGTTTTCTTCATATAACACGATTACTTAAGAATATTATTTCATATTGTAATTTCTCGTAAAAAAAAAGAGGGTTTTACAATTAAGCTCCGCCCCTCGGCTCACGACGAATAAAAAAATCACTAGAATCGAGATAGGGCGGGTGGGTGGCGCTTATAATTTGCCTTTGTTTGTTTCTTAATATACATGGCCATCTTTTCACAACAAAAACTTAAAACATGGTTAAAATGGTGCATTTTTGCAAGGAAATCGGTAGTTCCGTATACAAATTGTCCATTTTAAACATGTTATAAGTTTCATGTTGTGAAAAAAAGTCTACACATATTAAAAAGAAAAAGGAAAATCTATGCCCCCCCCCACCCGCCCTATCTCAATTGTGATGAATTTTTTCATTCGCCGTGAACCAAAGGGGCGGAGCTTAACTGCAAAATACTTTAATACTCTACAAGAAATTAAAATCATTATGTTTGTATTGATGAGGCTGATACGTGTTTAAACTCCATATTAATTTTAATAATAATGAAAAAACTTTCAGAGTTTAAAAAATATATTTGTAGTCACTGCTAGTTTCTCTTCTGCCTGAAGACGGTACTGTGTACCGAAACACGTGTAGCAGTGACTACAAATATATTTTTTAAACTCTGAAAGTTTTTTCATTATTATTAAAATTAAAATCATTATTTATGTATGGTGTTGTTCAAAGAGTACTGCGCATATTAAGAAAAAAAGGCAAAATATAAACCCCGCCCACCCACCCCATCTCAAATATGATGAACTTTTTATTCTTTTACAAACTTAAACACGTTTGAAATGGTAAATTTTTGTAAATAAATAGGGATTTTTCGATTAGGCTCCGCCCCTAGGTCTGTCAACAAATGAAAACTTCATTACTATTTAGATCAGGGCAGGTATGGGTGGAGTTTATTCTTTGGCTTTAATTTTTTCTTAATATACACAGTATTCTTTGAATATCCCGATACTCAAAGACAGGTCTTTGATGCTAATTTCTCGTATAGAAATAAGGATTTTGCAGATAAGCTCCGCCCTCTTGGCTCACGACGAATAAAAAAAATCATCACAATTGAGATAGGCGGGTGGGCGGGGCTCCATTTTGCCCCCCATTTTCTGAATATGTGTAGACTTATTTCGACAACAAGAAACTTAAAAACATGTTTAAAATGGTAAATTTGTATGGGGAAATATCGATTTTTCAATTACGCTCCGCCCCTCGGTTTGACAACGAATGAAAAATTCATCACACTTGAAATCGAATCGGATGGGTGGGGCTTCTCTTTTGGTATTTTTTTTTAATTAAAACATTTGGTTTTCTTCATATAACACGATTACTTAAGAACATTATTTCATATGGTAATTTCTCGTAAAAAAATGAGGGTTTTACAATCAAGCTCCGCCCCTCGGTTCACGACGAATAAAAAAATCATTAAAATCGAGATATTACTCATAATTTGCTTTTGTTGTTTTGTTACTATACATGGCCATCTTTTCACAACAAAAACTTAAAATATAATTAAAATGGTACATTTTTGCAAGGAATTCGGTAGTTCCGTATACAAATTTTCCATTTTAAACATGTTTTAAGTTTCATGTTAGGAAAATAAGTCTACACATTTAAAAAAAAAGCCAAAATGTGACGATTAAAAAAAATATATCACAATTGAGATTGGGCGGGTGGGCGGGGCTTATATTTTGCTTTTTTTCTTAAAATACGTAGTCGTCTTTTCAGAACAAGAAACTTAAAACAAGCTTAAAATGGGAAATTCTTGTAGAATGTAGATAATTTCTTGTAGAAAAATAAGGATTCTACAATTAAGCTCCGCCCCTAGGCTTTCAACGAATAAAAAATCATTAGAATGGTACATTTTTTCAAGGAAATATGGATTTCGCAATTAAGGGAGGAGAGCCTAATTGCAAAATCGCTATTTCCGTATACAAATTTTCCATTTTAAGCATGTTTTAAGTTTCATGTTGTGAAAAGAAGTCTACACGTATTAAAACAAAAAGGAAAATCTATGCCCGCCCACCCGCCCTATCTCAATTGTGATGAATTTTTTCATTCGCCGTGAACCAAAGGGGCGGAGTTTAACTGCAAAATACTTTAATACTCTACAAGAGATTAAAATCATTTTTTATGTATCGTGTTGTTCAAAGATTACTGTGCATATTAAGAAAAAAAAAAAAGGCAAAATATAAACCCCGCCCACCCATCCCATCTCAATTGCGATGTTTTTTTTCTTTTAGAAAATTAAAACACGTTTAAAATGGTAAATTTTTGTAAATAAATATGGATTTTTCGATTAGGCTCCGCCCCTATGTCTACCAACAAATGAAAACTTCATTACTATTTAGATCAGGGCAGATATGGGCGGGGCTTAAACTTTGGCTTTAATTTTTTCTAAATACACATAGTATTCTTTGCATATCTCGATGCTCAAAAACATGTCTTAGATGGCAATTTCTAGTAGAGAAATAAGGATTTTGCAGTTAAGCTCCGCCCTCTTGGCTCACAACGAATAAAAAAAATCATCACAATTGAGATAGGGCGGGTGGGCGGGGCTCCATTTTGCCCCTCTTTTTCTGAATATGTGTAGACTTATTTCGACAACAAGAAACTTAAAAACATGTTTAAAATGGTAAATTTGTATAGGGAAATATCTATTTTGCAATTACGCTCCGCCCCTCGGTTTGACAACGAATGAAAAATTCACCACAATTGAAATCGAGACGGATGGGTGGGGCTTCCCTTTTGGAATTTTTTTTTAATTAAAATATTTAGTTTTCTTCATATAACACGATTACTTAAAAACATTATTTCATATGGTAGTTTCTCATAAAAAAAATTAGGGTTTTACAATCACGCCCCGCCCCTCGGTTCACGACGAATAAAAAAAATCATTAAAATCGAGATAGGGCGGGTGGGCGGGGCTTATAATTTGCCTCTGTTGCTTTCTTACTATACATGGCCATCTTTTCACAACAAAAACTTAAAATATGGTTAAAATGGTAAAATTTTGCAAGGAAATCGGTAGTTCCGTATACAAATTTTCCATTTTAAACATGTTTTAAGTTTCATGTTGTGAAAAGAAGTCTATACATATTAAAACACAAAGGAAAATCTATGCCCACCCACCCGCCCTATCTCAATTGTGATGAATTTTTTCATTCGCCGTGAACCAAGGAGGCGGAGCTTAACAGCAAAATACTTTAATACTCTACAAGAAATTAAAATAATTTTTTATGTATCGTGTTGTTCAAAGAGTACTGTGCATATTAAGAAAAAAAAGGCAAAATATAAACCCCGCCCACCCACCCCATATCAATTGTGATGATTTTTTTTTTTTTATTTTAGAAACTTAAAACACGTTTAAGGGCAGGTATGGGTGGGGCTTAATCTTTGGCTTTAATTTTTTCTTAATACACACAATATTCTTTGAATATCCCGATACTCAAAAACATGTCTTAGACGGCAATTTTTTGTAGAGAAATAAGAATTTTGCAGTCAAGCTCCGCCCTCTTGGCTCACGACGAATAAAAAAAATCGTGACAATTGAGATAGGGCGGGTGGGCGGGGCCCCATTTTGCCCCTCTTTTTCTGAATATGTCTAGACTTATTTTGACACCAAGAAACTTAAAAACATGTTTAAAATGGTAAATGTAGTAATCAACTTAAATCCTCCACATCAAAGTTAGTATCAACGGCAACTTGGCAACGGAGTCTATAAAGACAATTTTCAGCTCTAAAAGCAACGTACTTCAACGTCAACAGCAAGTTTATAAATCCCAGTTTATATTTTTACGAAGTAGGCAACCAGTAATACTGGAATGTGTTAACGTATAACTGGTTGCCTAACCACTCGCTTCTAATTTTCCTCATCGACCGCTCTCATCTTACCATTTCCAGTAGTTGCATATCCGAGTGCCTCACGTGACGTCCCGGCGCCACCAGGACCCCGAAACACCTCTCGATGTGCAGCTGGGGCCCGTTGTCCGACACCTGACGTATGCTCAAACACAGCTGCTTCTCCACGTTGCTTTTGAGCTTGAAGCCGCCCCTGTCTTTTCCCACCACCGAGAAAGTACCCTAGACAAACTCCCCTGATTCTTTGCACAACCCAACAATCAACTCACCTTGCCATCATCCTCCCTAATCTCTAGACTCACTTCGAATACGTACATCAGCGTTCTGGCGTCCGGTAAGGTCGTAATGGAACCCGTCATGTCGACCGCAGACGTTACCGAACTGCTCATCGAGCGCGGAACCCTCTGAAACGCTTTGGCGAAACACCCTAAACAGAATTCCGAGCAAGGAAGGTTAGAAGGCGGAAGTCCCCGAATCGATTAAACAATTCGTGCCAACGGCTATTGATTGGTGACGCGGCGACGCCATTTTGACGCCGCCATATTTATTGGTATTACGCAAACAGTTTTAATAACGTCACGTCAAATTTTAACTCTACTATTAAAAAATTATTTCGTAATTACGTTGTACTTTTGCATGATTTATAACAATAGAACTAGTTGTAGCGGTCATCAAACCGCGAACAAAGCCGTATATTAACCATAAAAATATAAATATGTACCTGAAACTCTGGACACCGCCTCCGCTATGTCACACCGAAAAACATGGCACTGAAAAATGGCGGACTCCTGGGTGTCCCCGTGCGACCACGTGAACGCGAAACATCCAGCCTCGGTACTTTCTATGGCACCTCTCGCATAGAACAGTATGCGGTGGATTTCGTACCGAGATATGACCGAATTCGAGATGGCATCATACAACCTGTACGAAACATCACCGTAAACGGGATATTGCTACCTTCAAATCGGTACTTACACGACGAAACCCTGCGATGAGCATGGCACCGACACAGAGACTTTGATGCCCTGTTCCGAACTCTGTTCGTTCAGTATGGCCATGTTACGTTGGATTTCGGCTTCTGACTTGGGGGCGTTTATGGCAGCCGCCCCCAAGTACGTCACGCCGGCAAATATGGTGCAGTCCTGGTCGATATCTGAAACTAACCGAAGTACTTTAAAATTTAAATTTTGGCGGGGGAAGAAAGTCGGAGTACCTCGACAAAAACACCAACAAAATAGTTCATACATTTTTTTTTTTCGAAGGTCGTCGGTTCGACACCTACGTGGTTCTGTTAGCATTGTTTAAGGTTTATCTTTTCCAAGTGACCCACATTTTTAATATTTGAATTAGTGCACTTTTATTTGTTGGGTAAGGTAAAATGCGTTGTAAAAAATATCTTTATGGGGAATTTTCACAATAAAAGTGCTAATTAATTGACGATTGTGTTTCGTTTGATGTTGGACTGGGTTCGAGTTGAGTAAATCGGAATAAAATTTTATTACTCGACTTACGTGGCAACATAGTTGCGAATATTGTTAAAATTATTACGTTATTTTTAATTTAGACGTGACACAACAATTCATGATTAAGAACGGCACAAGTTTGAAATTTTAAAAACACCTTGACATTGATATTCGTTATCGGTAACAGTTAATAGTTAAAAAGTTGCGTAACAACTAAAACAAAACAAAAAACAGTGTTGCAAACTTACCAATATTAAGTATGTGCTTTGTTATCACAAGAATTTACATGTTTATCACACTATTTGTTTTTTTTTTTTTAAATAGGTGATACAGTTTCCATTTACCACTACTTAAAGTGTTAAGTGACCTCAAGAAGAGATAATGTAACACGGTTGAGCTATTTACATTCCATTTACTTATTTCACACTTAATTAACCGTAAATTGCCATTAAGTATATTGTTTAAGCAAAAAAATGGTCTAAAGGGAATTTCTTTCGCCCGTGAAACACAATCAAACATTTTTACTTCCTGAACGTAATAATCCTCATGTGGTTTATGAATCCGTGTTCAGTTTTTACTCTAGATATCCAGATTTTTGCAAAAAAAACAAACTTTTTAACTTTAAAACTACAAAATTCAGTTATCCTCTTCCAAAAAATTGATGGCGTCATTTCTCTGAATGCACTCAAAAATTTTAGAATTATACAGGGTGATTAAACAAAAATTAATAAATGAGGTAATTATTATATTGATTAAAATCATGAACGACTCAATGATTTTTTCAATGTTTCGGTTCCATTAATTTTTGGTTTTTTCAACTTTAATTTTTTCAATTTTTCGATTTGTAGTTGTTCAATTTTGAAAATTGTCGATATTACGATTTTTCTTTCCCTCAATTTTTCAAGTTCTTGATTTTTTTTCATTGTCCCGATTATTTTCAATATTCGATTTTTTCAGTTCCCCAGTTTCCCAATTTTTAAATTTTACAATTTTGACTTCTTAATATTTCGTTTTTTCAATTTTTAAGTTTCTCAATTTTTAACTTTCGATTTTTCAATTTTTCAATTTTATAATTTTGCAATTTTGCCATTTTTACGATTCGAAAAGTTAAAAAATCTAAAAATTGGAAAAGCGAAAAACTGAAAAAGGAAGACTGAAACACTGAAAAACTAAAAATCGAAAAAATTAAAGAAGCGAGAAATTGCAAAATTGTAAAGTCGAAAAACTGTAACACTGAAAGATCGAAAAATTGAAAAATTAAAAGTCGAAAAATTAGAAATCGTAAAATGAAAAATCGAATAAATGAAAAACTTTTAAAATACAATAACTAAAAAATGGAAACATTCTAAAACTGAAAAATCTATAGTTGATAAAACGAAAAATTAAAAAATCTAAAAACTGAAAATTCGAACAATTGAACACAAAAAAATGCAAATCGAAAAATTAAAAAAATTCACAAAAAAAAGAATAATTGAAAAATCCAAAAATTGTAAAAACAATGAAAATAAAAATTGAGACAAAAATTGCAAATCGAAAATTTGAACAAATAAAAAATTAAACAAACAATCGAAAAACATTTGAGAAGTCTAAAAACTGAAGAATGGAAAAATTGAAAACTTGATAATTCAAATGTTCGTAAAAAAGAAAAACCGAAAAATTGAAAAAACGAAAATCGAAGAATCGATTCGAAAAGTCGATAATCGAAAAATCGACCATTGAAAATCGGAAAATCGAAAGCAAAAAATTAGAAAAATCGAAAAGTCGACAATCGAAAAATCCAAAGTCTAAAATTGAAATATCGTAAAAAGGAAAATCGAAAATCGGAAAAATGGAAATTCGAAAAATCGTAAATTGACGAATCGAAAATCAAAGAACTGAAATTCAAGAATCCAAAATCGGAAAAACGAAAATCCAAAAACCGATACTTGTAAATAAAAGAATCGAAAATCAGTAATTAAAGAATCGAAAATCGAAAAACCGGAAAGTCAGAAATCGAAAAATTGAAAAATCGAGAAATCGACCATTGAAAATCGGAAAATCGAAATTAAAAAATTAGAAAAATCGAAAAGTCGACAATGGAAAAATCCAGAAGTCTAAAATTGAAATATCGAAAAAAGAAAAATCGAAAATCGGAAAAATCGAAATTGGAAAAATCGTATATTGAAGAACTGAAATTCAAGAATCTAAAATCGGAAAAACGAAAATCCAAAAACCGATACTTGAAAATCAAAAAATCTAAAATCAGTAATTGAAGAATCGAAAATCGAAAAACCGGAAAGTCAAAAATCGAAAAATTGAAAAATCGAAAAATCGTTAAAGTTTGAATACAAAACAAAACGATAAACTGAAAACCAAATTCGAAAATCTGAAAAATCGAAAAACGAAACAACGAAATTCAAAAAATCAAAAGTTGAAAATTCGACAAGTAAAAAAAAAATTGAGAACCTAAAAACTGAAAAATTGAAAAAATGAAAATTCCATTAATTAAATATTCGAAAAAACGAAAAATCGGAAAACGGAAGATTGAAAAACTTTAAAATCGAAAGATCAAAATAATTGAAATTTCTAAAATAAAAAACCGACAATTTAAAAAATTGAAAATTAGAAAAATCGAAGAATCGAAAATCGAAAAATCGAAATTCGAAAATTCGAAAAATCAAAAAGCTAAAAAATTGAAAACTCGATAATTGAAATGTTCGCAAAAAAGTAAAATCGAAAATTTTGAAAAATCGAAACTGAATATTCGAGTATTGAAAAACCGAAAAATTGAAAAGCAAAAAATTGAAAACGAAAAATCGAAAACCGGAAAAACGGAAATTGAAGAATACATTCGAAAATTCGACCATTGAAAATCGGAAAATTGAAATTAAAAAATTAGAAAAATCGAAAAGTTGACAATCGAAAAATCCAGAAGTCTAAAACTGAAATATCGAAAAAAGAAAAATGGTAAATTGAAGAATCAAAAATCAAACAACTGAAATTCAAGAATCCAAAATCGGAAAAACGAAAATCCAAAAATCGATACTTGAAAATCAAAGAATCGAAAATCAGTAATTGAAGAATCGAAAAGCGAAAAACCGAAAAGTCAAAAATCGAGAAATCGTAAAGTCAAAAAATTGAAAATTTGAATACAAAAAAACGAAAAATTGGGAAATCGAAAAACTGAAAACCAAAATCGAAAATTGAAAAATTCGTAAATCAGAAAATGAAAATTTGAAAAATCGAAACACGAAACAACGAAATTCGAGAAATCAAAAGAAGAAAATTCTAGAATTCGAAAATCGACAAGCAAAAAAAACTGAGAAGCTAAAAACTGAAAAATTGAAAAAATTAAAATTCCATGAATTAAATATTCCAAAAAACGAAAAATCGGAAAACGGAAGATTGAAAAACTTTAAAATCAAATAATCAAAAAAATTGAAATTTCTAAAATAAAAAACCGAAAATTTAAAAAATAGAAAATTGGAAAAATCGAACAATTGTACATCGAAAATCCGAAAAATGGCAAATGGAAACTTCGAGAAATCGAAAACTAAAAAAATTGAGAAGTCCAAAAACTGAAGAATGGAAAAATTGAAAACTCGAAAATCCGAATAATCAAAAACTCCACGATTCAAATGTTGAAAATCGAGGAATCGATAGTTGAAAATCGAAGAACCGAAAATCCAAGAATCGAAAATCGAACAATCGAATCGAAAAGTCGAAAACCGAAAAACCGGCCAACGAAAGTTGAAATATCGAAAAAAGAAAAATCGAAAATCGGAAACATCGAAATTCGAAAAATCGTAAATCGAAGAACCGAAAATTGAGGAACCGAAAATCAGAAAAACGAAAATAAAAAGAGATATTAAAAATTAAGAACTAGTGAAATTGTAAATCCAAAAACTACAAAATGCGAAATTGAAACATAAAAAAAAACTCGAAATTCGGAAAATCGTAAATTGAAGAATCGAAAATCAAACAACTGAAATTCAAGAATCCAAAATCGGAAAAACGAAAATCCAAAAACCGATACTTGAAAATCAAAGAATCGAAAATCAGTAATTGAAGAATCGAAAATCGATAAATCGGAAAGTCAAAAATCGGAAAATTGAAAAATCGAGAAATCGTAAAGTCAAAATATTGAAAATTTGAATACAAAAAACGAAAAATTGAGAAATCTAAAAACTGAAAACCAAAATCGAAAATTGAAAAATTCGGAAACTAGAAATTCAAAATTTGAAAAATCGAAAAACGAAACAACGAAATTCAAAAAATCAAAAGTTGAAAATTCTACAAGTAAAAAAAATTGAGAAGTCTAAAAACTGAAGAATGGAAAAATTGAAAACTCGAAAATTCGAAAAATCAAAAACTCGATGATTCAAATGTTGAAAATCGACGAATCGATAGTGGAAAGTCGAAAATCGAAATATCGACCATCGAAAATTGAAATATTGAAAAAAGAAAAATCGAAAAACCAAAAAATCGAAAATTGAAATATCGAAAAAAGAAAAATCGAAAATCGGAAAAATCGAAATTCGAAAAATCGTAAATCGAAGAACCGAAAATTGAAGAATCGAAAATCAGAAAAACGAAAATCCAAAAACCGAAAATCGTAGAAGCGAAAATCGGAAATTGAAGAATCGAAAATCGAAAATTGAAAAATCGAAAAACTGAGATATTAAAAATTAAAGACCAGTGAAATTGTAAATCCAAAAACGACAAAATCCAAAATTGAAACATAAAAAAAATTGGAAAATCGAAAAACTCGAAAACTTGACAATAAAAATTCGAAGTGTTGCATGTCACAAAATTGACGGAACAGAAAAATGAAAAATGGAAAAATCCCAAAACGAAAAATTGTAAAAATAATGAAAATAAAAAACTGAGACAAAAATTGCAAATCGAAAATTTGTACAAATGAAATACTAGAGAATAAAAAAATTGAAAAGTTGAAAAATTTAAATTTGAAAATTCAAAAAATTGCAATTCGAAAAAGCTGTGGGAGTTATTTACACCACTTTTTTCTTATACATTTTCAACAGAATTTGCTTAGCATAAATCTGATGTGACATCATAACAATTTTGATGGGAATGATTTTTCACTTTTTCCAAATTTTCAACTTGAATATCGAAAAATTTAAAATTCTAAACTCGAAAAACCGAAAATTTGAAAAATCGAAATATAAAATATCGAAAAATCGAAAAATTCTACATATATGAAAAATTCGAGAAATGGAAAACTGAAAAAAAAATTGAGAAGTCTGAATGAAAAAATTGAAAAATCGAAAAAAAGAAAAAATTGAAAAATCGAAAAAATGAAAAAAGGAAGACTGAAACATTGAAAAACCAAAAATCGAAAAGAATAAATGAATCAAAAAATTGGAAAGTAGAAAAAACGAAAGAGAAGAAGAGAATAAATGAAAAATGGAAATTCTAAAACCATAAATTGAAAATGCGGGAAATTTTGAAAATTACAATTAGGATTACATAATTATTTAAAACGAAAACACGAAAAATTGTACATTAAAAACTGCGAAAACGAAACATTGAAAAATTGAGAAACTGAAAAACCTGAAAAAAAAAATCGAAAACACGGAAAATTAGAAAATCTAAAAACATAAAATTCTAAAAATTGGACAAAGAGAAAATTAAAATGAAGAAATTGAATAATTTTACATTGGAAAAAGAAAATTATAAAATCAGAACACTGAAACACCGAAAAGTTTACAAAATAAAAGAAAAAAATTCCAAATCGAAGAAATGAAGAAAGGAAAAATTGAAAAATCGAAAATCCAAGAATCGAAAATCGAAACAAAAAATCGAAAATTCGAAAAATCAAAAATTTTAAAAATTAAAAACTGGATGAATCAAATATTCGAAAAAACGAAAACTCGAAAATTGGAAAAACGAAAATCGAAGAATCGAAAAATCCAAAATTGAAAAATCGAAAATCGAAAAACTGCAAAAAGGAAAACTGAAACATTGAAAAACCAAAAATCGAAAAATTGTAAAGTCGAAAAACTGTGACACTGGAAGATCGAAAAATTGAAAAATTAAAAATCGAATAAATGAAAAATGGAAATTCTAAAACCATAAAATTGAAAATGTGGGAAATTTTGAAAATTATAATTAGGATTACATAATTATTTCAAATGAAAATACGAAAAATTCTAAATTAAAAACTGCAAAAACGAAACATTGAAAAATTGAGAAACTGAAAAACCCGAAAAAAAATCGAAAACACGAAAAATTAGGAAATCTAAAAACTTGAAATTCGAAAAATTGGACAAAGAGAAAATGAAAATGAAGAAATTGAATAATTTTTCATTGGAAAAAGAAAATTATAAAATCAGAACTCTGAAAATTCGAAAAGTTTACAAAATAAAAGAAAAAAATTCCAAATCGAAGAAATGAAGAAATGAAAAATTGAAAAATCGAAAATCCAAGAAACGAAAATCGAAGAATCTAAAACCGAAGAACGGAAAATCGAAGAATCGAAAATTCGAAAAATCAAAAATTTCAAAAATTGAAAACTGGATGAATCAACTATTCGAAAAAACGAAAACTCGAAAATTGGAAAAACGAAAATCGAAGAATCGAAATATCCAAAATTGAAAAATCGAAAAACTGAAAAAAGGAAGACTGAAACATTGAAAAAACAAAAATCGAGAAAAATTAATGAATCGAAAAATTGGAAAGTAGAAAAACGAAAGAGAATCGAAAAATTGTAAAGCCGAAAAACTGTAACACTGGAAGATCGAAAAATTGAAAAATTAAAAATCGAATAAATGAAAAATGGAAATTCTAAAACCATAAAATTGAAAATGTGGGAAATTTTGAAAATTATAATTAGGATTAGATAATTATTTAAAACGAAAACACGAAAAATTGTAAATTTAAAACTGCGAAAACGAAAAATTGAAAAATTGAGAAACCGAAGAACCTGAAAAAAAATTTAAAACACGAAAAATTAGAAAATCTAAAAACTTAAAATTCGAAAAACTGGACAAGGAGTAAATGAAAATGAAGAAATGGAATAATTTTTCATTGGAAAAAGAAAATTATAAAATCAAAACATTGAAAAACCGAAAAGTTTACAAAATAAAAGAAAAAAATTCCAAATCGAAGAAATGAAAAATTGAAAAATCGAAAACCCAAGAAACGAAAATCGAAGAATCTAAAACCTGAGAATGGAAAATCGAAGAATCGAAAATTCGAAAAATCAAAAATTTCAAAAATTGAAAACTGGATGAATCAAACATTCGAAAAAACGAAAACTCGAAAATTGGAAAAACGAAAATCGAAGAATCGAAAAATCCAAAATTGAAAAATTGAAAAACTGAAAAAAGGAAGACTGAAGCATTGAAAAACCAAAAATTGAAAAAAAATTAATGAATCGAAAAATTGGAAAGTAGAAAAAACGAAAGAGAATCGAAAAATTGCAAAGTCGAAAAACTGTAACACTGGAAGACCGAAAAATTGAAAAATTAAAAATCGAATAAATGAAAAATGGAAATTCTAAAACCATAACATTGAAAATGTGAGAAATTTTGAAAATTATAATTAGGATTACTTAATTATTTAAAATAAAAATATCAAAAATTGTAAATTAAAAACTATGAAAACAAAAAATTGAAAAATTGAGAAACTGAAAAACTTGAAAAAAAAATTGAAAAATTAAAAAATCGAGAAACTTTAAAGCGAAAAATTGCAATCGAAAAAGTCAAGTGTGTTATTTACACCACTTTTTTCTCATACACTTTCAATAGAATTTGCTTAGCAAACATCTGACCTGACGTCATCAAAATTTTGGTGGGAATGATTTTTCCATTAAGTGACCTTGGGTATTAAAGTCATATCACTAAAACAAAACATGTGTTTGCATTACTATCACTTCGTGATATTAATTATTTAAATATAGAAGTGATACATCTCTCTAACCAATCAAAACTGAACTTTAAAACCTTGTAAACAATATAAAATCTACCATAATTAATAGTTTAACACAAAGTGAATCACATTTGTTTTGTTTACAAAAACCGCTCCATACTTTATCTATCAACCATTAAATTATGGAAACCACTCCAAGGTCACCACACAGCGCTCATTAAAAAAACCTCTGATAACAATCAAAACAAACCGCATTATACTACCAAATCTCGCCCCGCAAAAACAAACCCCTCACCCTCTTCGTCCTCGTTCGAGTCCTGCTTCACCGAGTCCTGTTTCTCCTCTGGCGACGAGTCCAGCTCCCTCGTCAGCGGATCCTTCCCTGGCTCCACCAGACACCCGTAGAACGTTGAATGCCCGATCTTCTTCTGGTTGTTCTCCACTTCGCCCATGTTTCGCCCGGTCTCCTGCAGCACCTCCGTCAGCGCGCTCTTCAGCTCGTTCAGGTCCCCGTTTTTGATGTCCAAAGTGGGTGTCTTGTTCGCCCCGGGCTTGTCGCCGACGAAGTCGAACTCTTCGCTCGTCGCCAACGACTCGTTGGACTTCACGCTCAGACTGTCCTCCATAACAACAAATGCGAGTATTATTCGACGGAAAGGGGGCACTCGGCTCTGGAAATCTTCCTATTACGCCTTTTCGTTACCTGACCGAGACATCGCGAAGGCGTGGAGTTTTTTGGGAAAAGTGAGGATTTTTGCCGGATTAGGCATCGTCGGGGCGCGGAAATGCCGCTTCTCCGCCCATTTTGGTCGAACAAAGGTTTAATTTGAGATTGAAGCGGCGATAAATAATCGACGAATGTCACTACTGTCAAGTTTGACGTATCGTTTTTGTTTTGGCAGTGCTGCCACCGTGCGAACGGAGAGAGTGATGGCGACAGAGGCGGAGGGAAGTGAAGTTTTCTAGGGGGCTGAAGTAATAAAATTGAAAAGTCCACAAACTGAATAATGGAAAAATTAAAAAATCGAAAATAGGAAACATCAAAAATCGAAAATTTGATTAATTCGAAAAGACAAAAATTCGTAAATCCAAAAATTCAAAAAATTTTGGAAAATCGTAAACTCGAAAAATTGAAAAATTGAAAAATCGAAAAACGAAACATCCAAGTTTGAAAAATCGAAAGTCGGAAATTGAAAATCGAAAATTCGAGAAATCGATAAGTAAAAAAATTGGGAAGCTAACAACTGAAGAGTGGAAAAATTGAAAAATCGAAAAATCGATTAATCAAATATTGAAAAAACCGAAAAATTAAAAGAAAATTCAAAAAATTTAAAATCAAAAAATTGAAAAACTGAAAAATTGAAAATTTGGTATCAAACAACCGAAAAATTGAAAATTCTAAAATCGAAAAACCGAAAATTGGAAAAACAGAAAATCTGGAAAATCAAAGAATTGAAAATTGAAAAATTAAAAATCGAATAAATGAAAAATGGAAATTCTAAAACCAAAAAATAGAAAGATTTTCCAGAAAGTTCAAAAATCGAGAAATCGAAACATCAAAAAGTAACATGATTAAAAATTCAAATATCGAAAATCGAAAACACGACAAATACAAAAAACCGAAAAGTAAAAAAATTGACAATTTGAAATCGAAAAAACCAAAATTCCAGAAATCGATAAAATCGAAAAGTAATAAAATCAAAAAATTTTGGAAAATCGAAAATTCGAAAAATTGATAAGTAAAAAAATTGGGAAGCTAACAACTGAAGAGTGGAAAAGTTGAAAAATCGAAAATTCGATTAATCAAATATAAATAATATAAATATAAATATAAATAGTTTATTAAAATATTGGAAAAACCGAAAAATGAAAAGATCGGAAAATTCAAAAAATTTAAAATCAAAAAATAGAAAAACTGAAAATTGAAAATTTGATATCAAACAACCGAAAAATTGAAAATTCTAAAATCGGAAAACCGAAAATTGGAAAAACAGAAAATTTGGAAAATCAAAGATTCGAAAACCGAAAATTTGAAAAAACGAAAACTGAAAAACAACTAAGAAGTCTAAAAACTGAAGCGTGGGAAAATTGGAAAATCGAAAATTCGAAAAATCAAAAATTTCAAAAATTGAAAACTGGAATAACGACAATTCCAAAAATGGAAAAACGAAAATCGATAGTCGAAAATCGAAGAATCGAAAAATCCAAAATTGAAAAATCGAAAAACTGAAAAAAGGAAGACTGAAACAGTGAAAAAACAAAAATTGAAAAAAATTAAGGAATCGAAAAATTGGAAAGTAGAAAAAACGAAACAGAATCGAAAAATTGTAAGGCCGAAAAACTGTAACACTGGAAGATCGAAAAATTGAAAAATTAAAAACCGAATAAATGAAAAATGGAAATTCTAAAACCATAACATTGAAAATGTGGGAAATTTTGAAAATTATAATTAGGATTACATAATTATTTAAAACGAAAACACGAAAAATTGTAAATTAAAAACTGCGAAAACGAAAAATTCGAAATCTAAAAACTGAAAATTCGAAAAATTGGACAAAGAAAAATTGAAAATGGAGAAATTGAAAACTTTTACATCGGAAAAAGAAAATTATAAAATCGGAAAACTGAAAAACCGAAAAATTTACAAAATAAAAGAAAAAAAAATCCGAATCGAAGAAATGAAGAAATTAAAAATTGAAAAATCGAAAATCCAAGAATCGAAAATCGAAGAAACGAAAATCGAAGAATATAAAATCGAAATAAAAAATCGAAAATTCGAAAAATCAAAAATTCGAAAAAACGAAAACTCGAAAATTGGAAAAACGAAAATCGAAGAATCGAAAAATCCAAAATTGAAGAATCGAAAATCAAAAGCCTAAAAAAATCAGAAAAAATTGAAAAATCGAAAAACTGAAAAAAGGAAGACTGAAACATTGAAAAACCAAAAATCGAAAAAAATTAATGAATCGAAAAATTGGAAAGCAGAAAAAACGAAAGAGAATCGAAAAATTGTAAAGCCGAAAAACTGTAACACTGGAAGATCGAAAAATTGAAAAATTAAAAATCGAATAAATGAAAAATGGAAATTCTAAAACCAAAAAATAGAAAGATTTTCCAGAAAGTTCAAAAATCGAGAAATCGAAACATCAAAAAGTAACATGATTAAAAATTCAAATATCGAAAATCGAAAACACGACAAATACAAAAAACCGAAAAGTAAAAAAATTGACAATTTGAAATCGAAAAAACCAAAATTCCAGAAATCGATAAAATCGAAAAGTAATAAAATCAAAAAATTTTGGAAAATCGAAAATTCGAAAAATTGATAAGTAAAAAAATTGGGAAGCTAACAACTGAAGAGTGGAAAAGTTGAAAAATCGAAAATTCGATTAATCAAATATAAATAATATAAATATAAATATAAATAGTTTATTAAAATATTGGAAAAACCGAAAAATGAAAAGATCGGAAAATTCAAAAAATTTAAAATCAAAAAATAGAAAAACTGAAAATTGAAAATTTGATATCAAACAACCGAAAAATTGAAAATTCTAAAATCGGAAAACCGAAAATTGGAAAAACAGAAAATTTGGAAAATCAAAGATTCGAAAACCGAAAATTTGAAAAAACGAAAACTGAAAAACAACTAAGAAGTCTAAAAACTGAAGCGTGGGAAAATTGGAAAATCGAAAATTCGAAAAATCAAAAATTTCAAAAATTGAAAACTGGAATAACGACAATACCAAAAATGGAAAAACGAAAATCGATAGTCGAAAATCGAAGAATCGAAAAATCCAAAATTGAAAAATCGAAAAACTGAAAAAATGAAGACTGAAACAGTGAAAAAACAAAAATCGAATAAAATTAATGAATCGAAAAATTGGAAAGGTGAAAAAACGAAACAGAATCGAAAAATTGTAAAGCCGAAAAACTGTAACACTGGAAGATAGAAAAATTGAAAAATTAAAAATCGAATAAATGAAAAATGGAAATTCTAAAACCATAACATTGAAAATGTGGGAAATTTTGAAAATTATAATTGGGATTACATAATTATTTAAAACGAAAACACGAAAAATTGTAAATTAAACACTGCGAAAACGAAAAATTGAAAACTTGAGAAACTAAAAAACCTGAAAAGAAAATCGAAAACACAAAAATTAGAAAATCTAAAAACTGAAAATTCGAAAAATTGGACAAAGAAAAAATGAAAATGGAGAAATTGAAAATTTTACATCGGAAAAAGAAAATTATAAAATAAGAAAACTGAAAAACCGAAAAATTTACAAAATAAAAGAAAAAAAATTCCGAATCGAAGAAATGAAGAAATGAAAAATTGAAAAATCGAAAATCCAAGAATCGAAAATCGAAGAAACGAAAATCGAAGAATCTAAAATCGAAATAAAAAATCGAAAATTCGAAAAAACGAAAACTCGAAAATTGGAAAAACGAAAATCGAAGAATCGAAAAGTCCAAAATTGAATCGAAAATCGAAAAACTAAAAAATCAGAAAAAATTGAAAAATCGAAAAACTGAAAAAAGGAAGACAAACATTGAAAAACCAAAAATCGAAAAAAAATAATAAATCGAAAAATTGGAAAGTAGAAAAAAACGAAAGAGAATCGAAAAATTGTAACACTGGAAGATCGAAAAATTGAAAAATTAAAAATCGAATAAATGAAAAATGGAAATTCTAAAACCATAAAATTGAAAATGTGGGAAATTTTGAAAATTATAATTAGGATTACATAATTATTTAAAATGAAAACACGAAAAATTGTAAATTAAAAACTGCAACAAAAAAGAAACACTGAAAAATTGAGAAACTCAAAAACCTGAAAAAAATCGAAAACTCTAAAAATTCGAAAATCTAAAAACCTAAAATTCGAAAAATTGGACCAAGAGAAAATGAAAATGAAGAAATTGAATAATTTTACATTCGAAAAAGAAAATTATAAAATCAGAACACTGAAAAACCGAAAAATTTACAAAATAAAAGGAAAAAATTCCAAATCGAAGTAATGAAGAAACGAAAAATTGAAAAATCGATAATCCAAGAATCGAAAATCGAAGAATCGAAAATCGAAGAATGGAAAATCGAAGAATCGGAAATCGAAACAAAAAATCGAAAATTCGAAAAATCAAAAATTTCAAAAATTGAAAACTGGATGAATCAACTATTCGAAAAAACGAAAACTCGAAAATTAGAAAAACGAAAATAGAAGAATCGAAAAATCTAAAATTGAAGAATCGAAAATCGAAAAATTAAAAAATCTAAAAAAATTGGAAAATGGAAAAACTGAAAAAAGGAAGACTGAAACATTGAAAAACCAAAAATCGAAAAAAATTAACGAATCGAAAAATTGTAAAGCCGAAAAACTGTAACACTGGAAGATCGAAAAATTGAAAAATTAAAAATCGAATAAATGAAAAATGGAAATTCTAAAACCAAAAAATAGAAAGATCTTCCAGAAAGTTCAAAAATCGAGAAATCGAAACATCAAAAAGTAACATGATTGAAAATTCAAATATCGAAAATCGAAAACACGACAAATACAAAAAACCGAAAAGTAAAAAAATTGACAATTGGAAATCGAAAAACCAAAATTCCGGAAATCGATAAAATCGAAAAGTAATAAAATCAAAAAATTTTGGAAAATCGAAAATTCGAGATACTGATAAGTAAAAAAATTGGGAAGCTAACAACTGAAGAGTGGAAAAATTGAAAAATCGAAAATTCGATTAATCAAATATTGGAAAAACCGAAAAATGAAAAGATCGGGAAATTAAAAAAATTTAAAATCAAAAAATAGAGAAACTGAAAAATTGAAAGATCGAAAAATTGAAAATTTGATATCAAACAACCGAAAAATTAAAAATTCTAAAATCGAAAAACCCAAAATTGGAAAATCAGAAAATTTGGAAAATCAAAGAATCGAAAACCGAAAATTTGAACAATCGAAAACTGAAAAAAAACTAAGAAGTCTAAAAACTGAAGAATGGGGAAATTGGAAAATCGAAAATTAAAAAAATCAAAAATTTCAAAAATTGAAAACTGGAATAACGACAATTCCAAAAATGGAAAAACGAAAATCGATAGTCGAAAATCGAAGAATCGAAAAATACAAAATCGAAAAACAAAGAATCGAAAATCGAAGAATCAGACTGATTCTGACAAACCAAATACCCTCTAAGAAAATAGAGGGCGGGTGGGCGGGCCTGGTACTTCTTAAGATAAGATTGATTTTAATAAATGACATCCTCTAAAAAAAAAACGGGTGGGTGGGCGGTGGGTGCTAAGATATGACTGAACAATATCAAAATCAAAAATTTGAAAATCGAAGTTCGAAAATTTGAAAAATCGAAAAACGAAACATCCAAATTTGAAAACTCGAAAGTCGGAAATTCGAGAAATCGATAAATAAAAAAATTGGATAGCTAACAACTGAAGAGTGGAAAAATTGAGAAATCGAAAATTCGATTAAACAAATATTGGAAAAACCGAAAAATGAAAAGATCGAAAAATTCAAAAAGTTTAAAATCAAAAAATAGAAAAACTGAAAAATTGAAAAACTGAAAATTTGATATCAAACAACCGAAAAATTGAAGAAAATTAAAGAATCGAAAATCGAAAATTTGAAAAATCGAAAACTGAAAAAAAATTAAGAAGTCTAAAAACTGAAGAATGGGAAAATTGAAAAATCGAAAAATCAAAAACTTCAAAAATTGAAAACTGGATGATTCAAACATTCGAAATAACGACAATTCCAAAAATAGAAAAACGAAAATCGATAGTCAAAAATCGAAGAATCGAAAAACAAAGAATCGAAAATCGAAGAATCAGACTAATTGTGGCAAAAGACATACCCTCTATGAAAATAGAGGGCGGGTGGGCGGGCCTAGTACTTCTTAAGGTTGATTTTAGTAAATGACGTATTCTCTAAGAAAACAAGGGCGAGTGGGCGGGGTTAAAAAATTCCAAATGAATCCAAAAATATTCAAAGGATCCAAAAAATACAAAAACTCCAGTGCAAAAAAAATCCAAAAAAACCCAAAAGTCAATAAAATCCAGGAAAATCCAAATACATATTTGATATCAATAAAACCAAATTTTCCAAAAATTTCAAATAAATCCAAAACACTCAAAAATTCCTAAAAAATCCAAAAATTCCAATCCAATCCAAGAACATTCAAAAGATCCAAAGAAATACAAAAATTCCAATGCAATCCAAAAAATTGAAAAAAATCCAAATTCCAATAAAATCGAAATATATACTTGACATCAAAATATCCAAATTTTCCAAAAATTTCAAGTAAATCTGAAAAATCCAAAACATCCAAAAAAATCCAAAAATTCAAATGCAATCCAAGAACATTCAAAAGATCGAAAAAAATACAAAAATTCCAATGCAATTAAAAAAATCCAATCCATTGGTACTAATATAGGATTGAACAATATTAAGTGTGGTCACTGGAACGAAGAAGGGGTGGGTGGGTGGGGCTACTGCTTGTGCATAAAACTAGAAAAAAGCTAAATTTAGCCCCGCCCACTTCCTTTCTCTATTTCACTGACTTATTTCATTTAGTGTAAAATGGTAATTGAAAAATAACAATATTGTATTCCCAAAAAAAATTTTTTTGACTAATTATATTTTGCTCATTTTAAAATAAGATTTATTCAGCAAAATTTTGAGGTAACGTCATCAATTTTTTAGGGGGGATGAGCAAATACATTTCTGCGTTTTACTAGTAGTATCGATAGTCGAAAATCGAAGAATCGAACAATAGAAAATCGAAAAATCTAAAATCGGAAAAATCGAAATTCAAAAAATCGTAAATAGAAAAATTAGAAACTGGAAAACTGAAAAACCGGGAGGTTAAATGTTGAAAATTCGAATACCGAAAAATCCAAAATTCTAAAAATCGACTATAATCGGAAAAACGATAAAAAATCAACAAAAAAGCAAGAGAAAAAGAAAGGAAACAAAAAGAACATGAAAATGTGGACATAAAATGACGTCAGAAACATCAAAAGTAGGAAACAAAGCAGCGTCAAAAAATATCAAAAAAGCAAAAAACCACAACAAAGAAAAATGACAAAACAGGAAACAAAAAAAGGGACAAAAAACAACACAAAATAGACAAAGCGATTAAAAAGTCAAGGAAAAAGCAAGAGAAAGAGAAAGGAAACAAAAAACACGAGAAAAAAAAACATTTAAAAAAAAGAGGCGACAAAAATGCAACCAGAAAGACTACAAAAAAGCCGCAAAAAAGACAAAAAAAAGCGTATGAAAGGAGATGACAATGTCAATAAAAAAAAAACAGGGAAAACACTGCATCAAAAATTAAAAAAAAAGTCAAAAAAGCAAAAAGTAGCAATCTGACTTTAAATATAATGCACTACAAAACTGAAAAAGTTAATTATTCTTAGGGATTAGAGTTCAAGTAGGTTTTGAAGAAGACAAAAACAATAAAAAAAGTGGCGTAGAAAAAGTAATTTAGCTAAAGTAGTAGATCAAAGTCGTTCTTATGTTGATCAAATTTTATGGACATTTCATAAATGTCTACGCGAGAAGTCGCCAAATAAAAGCAACAATAGGTACGAGAAGACAACCTAGGGATAGTAAAGCATATTTTACCAAAGAACACATTTCACATGGTAATTTCTCGTAAAATAAGCCCCGCCCACCCGCCCTATCTCAATTGTGATGATTTTTTTTATTCGCCGTGAACCAAGGGGCGGATCTAAACTGCAAAATACTTATTTCTTTACAAGAAATTAAAAACATGTTTTTCAGTATCGTGTTGTTCAAAAAACACTATGTATGTATATTAAGAAAAAAAACGAAAATGTAATATGTCGTCAAATTTTTGGAGTGGACAAACAAAAAAATTTAAAAGCCGATTTCATTGTTTCTAAATTAAAGATTTTAAAAAATGCATTCAAATTACTGTTCATCGAAAATAAACAAATTCTGAATTTTTGAACTTTGTTCTAATAAAAACTGTTGACTTTTATTTGTTGTATAATTTTATTTTACTTTCATTGCCCTCGCGAATGGAATTTAACACCCCGGGGCATTCACGGAAGCGCCGCCTATGGTTGACAGACTGTCCAAGCCTACTTAATAAAGTTGTTACTGACAATTCAGATAAAATTTATCCATTATCTAAATAAGTAAATAAACACGAATAAACACACAAATACAACTACTACAGTCACTTATTTATTTATTTAAAGAGCTAAGCACGGATTATTTCAATAAAATACAAAATAAATTCATAATAGTAGCGTTAAAGCAGTTTTCCTTGGCTGCCTCTGAAACGCAAAGCCCCCTTAAGAAAAACTCACCTTAACGGTTAACATTTAAATAAAGCAACCGTCCACACGTTACTCTTAATAATAAATTATAACCTAAAATATTGCAATGTACTCCTACACTAAAAACCTGACGTGTGAAGCTCCAACGAAAACACACTGTACACATTACAAAATCAGTATACGTTATTCGTTTTGTTAGTATACAAGAACCCAATCCTTAAGGACTCAACTCCTGTGGATGCATGGGGTCGTACCCGCAGCTGCTGGCATCATACGCCGAGCTCTGGTCATACGCTGAACCCATGGAATACCCCATGGAGTCCTGCGGCGGCGCAGGCGACATCATGGGAGTCGGTGTTCCGCTATAGGGCGACGCCCCCGCGGCCTTTTTTGCCGCGTACAAGTTCGCCTCCTCTTGAGCTTTGCCTATGTTCTTCTTATACCTGATTCTTTTATTCCCGAACCAATTGGAGACTTGGCTCACCGTGATGCCGCATTTGCGCGCCAACTCCTCTTTCGCCTCTTCACTGGGGTAGGGGTTCGATAGGTGCGAATAAAAGTACTCGTTTAGGATCTCGGAGGCTTGCTTGCTGAAATTGCGCCTTTTGCGACGCGCATCCAGAAACCTCGACCTCAGGATCATGACAGCCTCACACGTGGATTGCTTCAGCTGCATCTGGATCGAGCTGAACTTCTTGTGGATGATTTGCACCATCCGCTCGATCTCCTTCGGGGTGATGGGGCGCGTCCGCGACTGCTCCCTCAGGAGGTTCATGACGTGCGTGGTGAACTCGTTGCAGGCCTGTTCGTACTTCTCCAATTCCTGGTGGTAGATCTGGCGGATTTGCGCCAGCTTGGCTCTGTAGTCGCTGTGTTCGATGGCGTTGTCTGGTTGGCCGGCTTGCGCCGCCGCCGAGCCCGAGGCCGCCGCCCCCGCGCCGCCGCCCTTCTCGGGGCCCGCGACGCCTTCTGCGATGAGCATGTTGTCGAGCCTCATTAGCTGCGGGTCTGGCGGCTCTTCCTCTTGGGTGTTCCGCAGACTTAGAACGGTCTTTTCCTTGATTTCGCACAGCACTGAGAACAAGGCGGGCTTCATCCGGTGGCAGTTTAGGGTGTGCTTTCGGGCTTGTGCCTCGTCGAGGCTCTGGTCGGTGATGTTCATTATTTGTTGCAAGATTTCACCGATGTCTTGCTTGCGGGGCTCGTTTTCGCCCCCGGATTGGGCCTCTTGGTTCATGTAGGGCTGGGGCGGCATCAAGCCGCCGCCGGAATGACCCATCATTCTTCCAGGGTCGTCCATGGGGTTTGGGGCACAAATGGGAGCAACAACCGACTGGGAGCAGCGAGAAAATGCGAAAAATGGACGCCTTGACAGTATACGTAAACAAAGCGGAGCGACGTTTTTGGGATTGGTAGTAGGGGAGAAAGGGGGCGCGAAATTTGACTTTGTTTTCAGGTTTTTAATTACTTACGGACGTCGGGGGTTACTAAAGGTATTTCCTCGATGTCTACAGCCTGTTTTTCTTCTGCACGGTTTTTTGATTATCAGAAAGTTTCAAAAGGGCAACACTTGTCAAATTTCAGTAATGTCAAAAAGCATGGCCGTCTTTGGTTAACTGAAAACGGTAAAAAAAAGCGCAATTACAAAATGTTGGCAACACTGCACAGATGGCACAAAACGAAACGGTTTTTAAGGCAATTTTAAGTTTTTTTTTTTAATTTCGTAGATTAAAAACAAAAAGTTCGTGGGCAGCGGCGCAACTGAAAGGGGCATTTAGGGACGATTTACCCTGAGGGCTATTTTAAGATTATTAATTTTCAGAAAATCCAAATGCCTACGGTAAAAAATCAAGACGGATACATAAACTACACGTATGTATACATCTTTCGTAATCTTAGGGTCTTGAACTCATGGAACGCCGTGAAAACAAAAAAAGTAGGCCAGGAAATAGAAAATAAAATTAACACTAAAAAAATGTATGTCCGATTTTTTTGTCGTTTTTTGTGACATTTTTTAGTCTTTTTTGTTTCTTTTTTAATAGTTTCTCTTGTCTGCTAACAAATTGATGGTGTTATCACAAAAACAAATTTTATAATTTATCTAAGACACTGGATTTGTTTAATTGTACTTCAGAGGCGGGGGAGGTTCTGTCTAAATAATTTTAGACCGTTTTTTTAACATCATGATACCAATTTCAACTAAAAATCCAGGATTGCCAATAGATTCAGTAATTTCTGATCACGCGGTACTTGTAAATACCATGTGACTATTTTATTAACGATTGAAACACATTTTTATAAGAATAAGACGTTCATGTTTTTTTCTATTACCAGATTATGCAAAACTATTAAATGAGTATCCCTGTCTAGATCTTTTTAATGTACCACCTAAATGTTTTAAAGCAAATGTGAAGTCCATCCTGAGCTGGTAAATTATTTGTAATTTATTTGTTTTTTGTTTTTTGTTTTTGACGAAGTAGTGTATTCACTAAAGTGTACAATGTATATATAATGTATGTATGTATGTATGTATGTTCATCTCTTTTGACTTGTACAAGGATATAATTCCGTAAACATATGTATTATTATGTCACTGTCATTTGTCCAATTTTTTTTAATAAAATCCTCAATTCACAGTTGTCAATTTTGACATAAGCACGCCTAACAACCACCGAAAAACCGTGTTGATTTGACGATGGCAGCTGTTGCAAATGTCACTTTGACAATCAGGTATGGCATTACAGAATTTTAAACAAGTTGCCAACTTAACCAAAAAATCACAAACATTAGTGACTCGGTACCTAACTAAAGTACAGTGTGAATAAAGTTCAGGCCACTTCTGTCTGTTCACGTGATAAAAAAAAAGTTGGTTATCTTGCCCTGTCTAGGGTTTTGTTAATACGGTTGGCAGCGTTGTAATCTAACTAAATTAATTAAAAGTACAGCTATCACGTGTCAAGATGAGACTGATTTTGGCAAATGATATATCCCCTAAGAAAATAAGGGTGGGTGGGCGGGGCTAGTACTTGCCAAGATAAGATTGAGTTTGGCAGATGACTTATTCTTCTAAAACAATAAAACAAAATTAAAATTAAAAATCGACAAGTTAAAAAATCGGATAAATGAGAAATTGGGAAATTATACAACTGTATAATCGGAAAATCAGCAATTGAAATATCGATATTTTGAAAAAAAAACAAATCTTATAAAATCAAATTCGGAATTCCAGTTTTCATTTTTTTTTTTTGTTTTAAGATTTTTCAACTTTTGAATATTTCATTTGATAATTTGTTCGACAATTTTGCTTTTTTTGACTCCAATGTTTTGATTTTTTCAATTTTTAACTTTATAATTTTGCAGTTTTTTGATAAGTTCTCAATTTAAAATTTTTCCTTTTCACGATTTTTTAACTAAAAGGACAAATTTGTTCGAACCGAAATTTTGAAAAATCGAAAAATCCAAAAATTCAAAATGTAACTGCAAAATCGAAAAATAGAAAAATAGGTAAATCTAAAATTTAAAAAATGGAAAAATCAAAATGTCGAAAAAATGAAGAATCGAAAGATCGGAAAATCCAGAAATTAAAAATTTCCAATCGAAAACCGAGAAGTCAAAAAATCAAAAAAATTGAAAAACTGAAAAATCGAGAAATTAGAAAAAGTCGAAATTGGAAGAATGGTAAACCGAAAAACCTAAAAAAAGAAAAATCGAAACGTGAAAATATCGAGAAATCGAAAATTGAAAAATTGGCAAATTAAAAAAAATGAAAAATCGAAAAATCGGGAGATCAAAAAAATCATCAAAAAGTGAAAAATCTAAAATTTAAAAAATCGACCTGGAAAAACTGAACAAACGAAAAATGAAAAAATTGTGAAATCGAGACATCAGAAAATCAAAAAATTGAACCAAAAATGGGTAAATCGAAAAACTGAAAAGTCCAAATATCGATAAATTAGAATATCGCTAAATCGAAAAACCATAAAATTGAAAAATGGAAAATTCGGGAAATTGAACAATCGAAAAATAAAAACACCGAAATCTCAATAAACCCAGAAATTGAAAACTGAAAAATCGAGAAATCGAGACGTTGGGCAATCGATAAATGGGAACTTTTCAGAAATGTTTAGATACTATTAGATATTTTGGGAGAAATCAAGCGTTTCTTTAAATTTATCCTGATATTTTAAAGAAAATAACCACCTGTCATTGATCTGAACCAACCCAAAGACCCCTTTTCGAATCGATTTTCCAAATTATGATTTGTTATTTAACAACACGTTTATTTCCGTTATTAAAAGCACTACGACGAAAATAACCACAAATTTATTTTCCTGAGAAAATTTCAGGTTGGAAAACATCCTTTTCGAGTCTAAGTAATTCAGTAAATTTCAGTTACTGCTTTTTTTTTGGAAAAAAATACAAAATTTCATTCCGTTGTAACGTCACATAAATTTTTCTTCATTCTTTCATGAAGTCCGAAAAACACCTCACACCCATCAGTTTTCCAATTGTTCAAAATTTAATTGGGGAGTGGACAGACAGAATGACCTGGAATTTATTAATGATTGTAGCAAATTTTTGTATTGGCAATTCTGAATTATTGGGAGTCATGCTAGTCTGTCAGTTCACAATTATCTATTTTGACCTTAGCACCCTTAATAAACTTGTTGATTGGTTGAGACGATGACAGCTACTGCCTTGATGTCATAAATGTCAATTTGACGGTCAGATAAGCATTCATAAAATTTTTGCTATGTTGCCAACTTAACAAAAAAATCACAAACGTTGACTCAGTACCATCTGTCTGTTCAGGTGATAAAAAAACGGTTGGTTATCTTGCCCTGTCTAGGGTTTGGTTAATACGGTTGGCAGCGTTGTAATCTAACTAAAATAATTAAAAGTACAGCTATCACTTGTCAAGATGAGACTGATTTTGGCAAATGATATATCCCCTAAGAAAATAAGGGTGGGTGAGTGGGTCTAGTACCTACTTGCCAAGATAAGATTGAGTTTGGCAGATGACTTATTCTTCTAAAACTATAAAAAAAATTAAAAATTAAAAATCGACAAGTTGAAAAATCGAATCAATGAGAAATCGGAAAATTGTACAACCGTATAATCGGAAAATCAGAAATTGAAATATCGATATATTGAAAAAAAAAAACAAATCTTATAAAATCGAATTCGGAATTTCAGTTTTCATTTTTTTGGGGTTTTTACATTTTTCAACTTTTGAATATTTCATTTGATAATTTGTTTGACAATTTTGCTTTTTTTGATTCCAATCTTTTGATTTTTCAATTTTTAACTTTACAATTTTGCAATTTTTTGACAAGTTTTCAATTTAAAATTGTTCCTTTTCACGATTTGTCATTTTTCGATTTTTTAAATTTATTCTAACCGAAATTTTGAAAAATAGAAAAATCCAAAAATTCAAAATGTAACTGTAAAATCGAAAAATACAATAATTGGTAAATCTAAAATTTTAAAAATGGAAAAATCAAAATGTCGAAAAAATGAAGAATCGAAAGATCGGAAAATCCAGAAATTAAAAAATTCCAGTCGAAAAACCGAGAAGTCAAAAAATCAAAAAAATTGAAAAACTGAAAAATCGAGAAATTAGAAAAAGTCGAAATTCAAAGACTGGTAAATCGAAAAACCTAAAAAAAGAAAAATCGAAGCATGAAAAGATCGAGAAATCGAAAATTGAAAAATTGGCTAATTAAAAAAATGAAAAATTGAAAAATTGGGAGATCAAAAAAATCATAAAAAGTGAAAAATCTAAAATTTAAAAAATCGACGAATTTATCTTGATATTTTAAAGAAAATAACCACCTGTCATTGATCTGAACCAAGCCAAAGACCCCTTTTCGAATCGATTTTCCAAATTATGATTTGTTATTTAAAAACACGTTTATTTCCATTATTAGAAGCACTACGACGAAAATAACCACAAATTCATTTTCCTGAAAAAATTTCAGGTTGGAAAACATCCTTTTCGAGTCTAAGTAATTCAGTAAATTTCAGTTACTGCTTTTTTTGGAAAAAAATACAAAATTTCATTTCGTTGTAACGTCACATAAATTTTTCTTCATTCTTTCATGAAGTCCGAAAAACACCTCACACCCATCAATTTTCCAATTGTTCAAAATTTACTTGGGGAGTGGACAGACAGAATGACCTGGAATTTATTAATGATTGAAGCAAATTTTTGTGTTGGCAATTCTGAATTATTGACAGTCATGCTAGTCTGTCAGTTCACAATTGTCTATTGTGACCTTAGCACCCTTAATAAACTTGTTGATTGGTTGAGACGATGACAGCTACTGCCTTGGTGTCATAAATGTCAATTTGATGGTCAGATAAGCATTCGTAAAATTTTTGGTATGTTGCCAACTTAACAAAAAAATCACA